GTCCCCATCACACGTCAAAGAAAAACGCAAGAAAAGCAAACCACCAAAAAGACACAGAATAACATACGTAACTTCCATGTTTTGTGTGTGTCGGCTGGTCACGCAACGTATCCACGTAGGAGGAGAGGTTCCAAAGCTTTTTTGCGGGGAGGTGGTCAAGGCTGAAGGGCGTATTGACGAGGTCCTGTTAGGGTAAAAGTTTGGCAAGCGACATGGCCTTGGAACAGGGACATAAGTCTCGAGTCTAGAAAGAACATAAAGATGAGTAAATACCGACAGGGACATGGCCTACTGTTCAAAAGGCGAGACGCAGGATTAGCCACACCTTGAAAGTCCTTGAATTTTAAAATAAAAATTCAAGGCCGTGAAAGTCCTTGAAAAATGCAGTCGTTGTTGGAAATTCCTTGAATTTCAATGCTTACTTTATAGTTTAAGTAAAACTTCAAAGAGGAAGGAGCAAACACAAAGACCTTCGGGATAAAATTGCTCATGTTGTGGAAGAACTAAAATGCACTGAATGGAGTCCTTCAAAAATGGGAAATGTGTCCTTAAAAGCCCTTGAAAAGTCCCTGAATGTTTGGTTCAAAAAGGGTACGAATCCTGGAGACGACTGTTTTGTTATTGTACCTCTTGGAGGGTCGGTGGGGGGAGCAATTAAACCCAGAGCCGAAATTTTGTCGGTAAAATATGCAACCCGCTGAGGCCCGGGTCAGACGCCGAACTTTTTATGAGCCGAACCTAATTCGAATTAAGGCCGACCCAAATTATTTAGACCGGCCGAACTGAATCAGACGCCGATCTTAATTCTTACAAAATACCTTATATCAACTTATGCCTTTGGTTCGGTACATGAAAAGGTCGATGTCTAAATCAAAGCCGTTCCAAAGTTCATCCAAAGTCGAGATTCCCGTTCGGGGCAAGCGGAAAGGACGACTGAGCCGTTCCAAATTGAAACAGGTGTTCCTAATTGATTCAGACGCCGAACTTTTTATGTACTTAAGTTAATGTATTAGGTTCGGCACATGAAAAGTTTTTGAAAAAAATAACGAAACAAGATTTGCTGTTTTACTTTGTAAGCTTTGTAAGAAGAGGAAAATTGAACACAGTAAAACCAAAATGGAACAGGGGAAAAGAGATGGCCTGAAAAGAGAACGAGGGCACGGACGACGAAAACTGGAAACGGTAGGTCATGATCAAATCGTAGATTACTTCAATAATTAGCTTAACTTAAGCCTTGTTAAAAATAAGGCAACGCGGTTTCGAACAAGTGTGTGCATGCTTTGATTCGAGATAATAATCTGTGCTTCTACATGATTTTTTTCTTACCATGTTCTCTGTGTAAATACAGATGCATTTTATGTACATGTTCTCTATATAAGCCAGTTAATAGACCATTCCAACATTCCTATGAACTTAAAGGCGCAAAATCGATACTTGGGTTGATAAAATACCGTGATTTGTAGGAAAACAAAACGCGGGATAGGTCTGTTATGTTCTGCACAATTGCTTTTCTATCATTGGTCAAAACCTTCAACATCATGCTATGACTGACACTATAAATCATGTCATATTCCCCCTCCACCAACCAAAAAATGATCCCCAGGAGTAATGGCGGTGGAAAGGAATCCCAATTTGAGATCTTCTGAGTCTCTGTGGCTATATTCTTTCTATGATTTTTCACACCAGTGGTCAACCATGAGGGAATGATCCAATTGGTTTGATATGGACTTTTAATAATTTCATTTTTAAAATGCAAAGGGAACAGACTACATACATTGTTAATCCTGCAAATATCTCTTATTAATATATTGGCGTAACTATTCATCAGTGGAGCCTAAAACATGTGCAATGTCACAGCCATACGTTAAAAAGTCAGGAAATTAGATTTTTTGTACAATGTAACCTCGATTTAATGAACCTCTTTATGATGAAGTCCTCTGTATAGCAAACGATATTCCTCGTCTCAGTATTAATAGCAAAGTATATGGAAAAGAACCTGAATATAACAAAACCTCTGTATAGCGAACAAATTTTGTCAGTCCCTCAGTGGCCCTTTATTACATAGAGTTTCCACTGTTTATGATAAACAGCACGACTGCAAAATCTTCACTAAGGACTTTACTCTTCAAGCCAGCACCAAAAGGGACACACTCAAGTGTCCACATTGCAGAGGTGTCCTTAATTTAGAGGTACAGGGATAGTATGAGTTTTACAGCTGTAGGTTGGGTCCCAGGCTTCAGAGCAGTAGGCCAAGCTTCAATTCCGGTACAAGCTCCCCACAGACCATCAATCAAGGCCTTAAATTAACGAACATCTAGGGTTTGAATTAATTTTTTTAAGGATAAAATGAGCTATTTATTTATATTGAGCATTTATATTGAGCATTGTAATTGAAATTGTGATTGGAAGTAACAACAGGGCGGTGTCTTTCATGGGCCCCTTATGGCACGGTGTCATAGTGTCACAGTGATAGTAAAGTGTGGTGGAACAGTGGTACAGTGTCATAGTGTCACGGTGATAGTTAAGTGTGGAGGAACAGCGGCAGAGTGTCACAGTGACAGAAACATGTGTGACAGTCGCACATTGTCTTAGTGTTATTAGAATTTGGGGGAACAGTGACATAGCGGTATTTAAGTGTATTGGTGCTGAGTGGAACAGTGGCATAGTGGTACTAAAGTGCGCCACAGTTGTTAGTAGTGCGATAGAACTGATGAACAGTGAAACAGCGATGCCAAAGTGCGGTGGAAAAGTGGCTCAGTGATGTAATTTAGGCGATTCCTAGGAATTAATTGTCGGCGAAGGACTTCCCAGTCCACCCCACGCATGCGCATGGCAAAGGGAAATAGAGATTGATCAGCATTTAAGAAGATACGTGTATCTGTAAAAGCAAACCACTGCGCAAGTGTGGTATTACTGAGCTAAAATTTCTCTTTGAAGAATGAAGTGCTTGTGGACTGTTCACTTTCCCAGTGATTGTTCAGGAGTTGTAAGAAGTACAAGATTCTTCATCCTTGAAGAATTGACCAATCCTTTTCCTTTCATGTATACTGAAGATGAAAGCACTTAGACTCACTGAATTAGCCTGCAGGCAAAATTCTACTATTTTCTTTTCTATTTGCAGTCAATGTCTGCTCGCAGGCTAAACTAAAAAAGCCGTAATCTATTACAAGGAACCTCTACAAAGGAGTGTTCAGCCCACTTATATTCTTTGGTCACTTAAAATCTTATAGGCAATAGGTCATAACCTGATAAACTCCTTAACTAAATACTTCAACCCCCTTAAACTAATATTTCAGTTTCTCGTAATATACATTATATCGATACATCTTGAGTGTTCATGCCTCGCTCTTTGAGAACAGTTTTCCTAGTAGTACGGCTTTATGGACTGTTCCGTTCTGAAAGCAGTAATTGTCGTTCTATGACAGTCTGGTTACTTAAGTCCTTTATTTTGCATAGCAAGTATATATCTGAGTAACGACTTCTGATTGGCCAATCCCGATGCCTTTGAGCCTCGACATTGTGCTAGCTGTGTAGAGGGTAGCTTTGGATCGCATTTCACGGGATGATAAACATGTATAAGACCAGGATCGGGGGCGCGAAACACATCAATGTCTTTATGTTTGACAAATTTCTCATTTAAGTCCACGTCTTCCCATCCCCAGCCTTGGATGCTTGTGTTAAACCCTCCAACTGCTTGAAGATCTCGACCGTACAAACAAACGGGTCCGTATGAGTAGGTCCTCCAAATTCCTGCGTCTGCATTAATTGTGTAGTACGATTCAGGTCTGTTGTTGTGGATATCTGATAAATCAGGATCAAACTGACTGAACATTATGGGGAAATAGACTTGTTGCCCAAGCACCGTGTTAATGCGACAGCGGTCCAAAAACTCCTTGCTGAATACTAAATCAACGTCACACAGGAACAACAAATCTGTCTTGTTTAATTTAGCTGCCGCCAAAGATAGGGCTACCCCGCGGGAAAAGTTGCCCGCAACGTCAATCCAAATAAGGTCTGCCAGAGGGTACTTGTACTGGTATTCCTTGAAGACGGCTTTGTGCTCGCGAGGAGAAAAAAATGATGACGAATACGCGATTACAAGCTTTACCCTCAGAATTTGCTCGAGACAAACCTCTTCAAAATTCTTCATGAAGCGACGAAACGTTTCTAACCGCCCTTCCAAGGGGACAAGGAAGTGCACAAAGGGTAAAGTGTTATCGAGGGATTTGGCGTCGTAAACGAGTCTTCCAAATGGGAGTTGGAAGAAGAACCTTCTACTTTGTAGGCTAGAAATTTGTTTAGTTTTTCCTGTTTCTGTATAAAGGATTTTCTTTTCTGATCTTACAGTTGAATGCATGACGTATTGAACACCGTATATGGGGTGAGCACGCCTGTAACCATAGTTTATTTTCAGGATATTTATATTTTCAGGAAATCGAGTCCTTGCTTCTTCCTTCAACGTTTCTTTTTCTATTTCCAATAATTTTTTTAACTCAATCTTTAGTGCACCACGAATACCAGTTCCAGGGGACATTAACATCGTATCAGAGAAGAATGAATTCGAAGTGAATATGCTCCATTGTTCAGTGTTATTTCTCGCCAGCTGGTGATGAAAGTCTTCTTCATCCCGATGAGAATATTTTTCTCGTGTAAGAAGCCAGTTTTCTTCTTCTTGAATCAGACTATCAGTTCGTCTCAGAACTCTTTGCAGCTTAACAGTTTCATATTGGAGATGCTGAATTCGCTGGCTCATGAAGTGCACGTGCAGACGGCGCATGTAGGCTGGTTGTTTAATGGGATGGAGCGTGATGGCATCGTTAATGGGCTTGGTGTCTAAGTCACCGAAAAAAACCTTCTCCTTCTCAGTGTAATGGTGAAAGAAGAGGTCGCGCATCTAAAACAAAGGAACACAATTCGTTAGTCACTGATTTTATACTGAGCAGAGGTTTAGGTTCAAACTGGCTATGTAACCTTTATGGTCACTAGTTATAATCTGTGGGTTTTTGTCAAGACTACTCGTCTTTATTCTTGGTGTGTGCGCATTAAGGATGAACCCCGCTGAATAACGTATTTCCTCGATTAAAGGCCGCCCTTCAATAAGCGCCCTAGTTAAGGCGATTATTCGTGTATTATAAGAAAAAACTCGGTACATTTTTGTAATCTGCACCATCCATACATGAAAGTTTTATTATTGCATTCGTAGAGACAAGTCACGCAAATCAACTACCTCTTCTTGAGGTTTTGGTTAGAGTCGTGGTAAACACAAAGTATTGTAAACTCAGCGGCTTTTCTTACCTCGTATGCCCAAGTGCATGAGACCCCAGTGTATCTTTGTATACATCGGCCAAGCTCGATGTCTTCATGTAATGTTGGTGCTGTTTGAAGGCAATGTTCCAAATGTAGCGCAACCTTTTTTATAACACTTCGGCTCATAATAACCCCTGGCCCGCCCATGCAGTAGTTATCCCCCGGATTCAGGCTCAACATACCTATTTCGTCCTTGGCACCCGTACCAGCGTGCCCCAGATGAATATCATCTGAGCTGTTTAATGACTGCAAGAAGGCAACTAACTTGTCAGTTCGCACGTAAACGTCGTCATCCGCTCGCATGAACCATTGGTACTCATCCAAATGGACATCGTGCATGTATTTAATCATCATTAAGGATTTTTTTAGTGGCGGATATGTGTCATCTACATCAGGTAAACTGACCACAGGTAACCCAAGCCTTCTTCCTGCTTCACCGCTTGAAAAGAAAGTAAGTTTTCCGGGGACGTTCTTTCCCCAAGTATCGTACACCGCTTTTGCTCGAGTTTCCACTAACTGCTCAGCAGTCAAAACGCCAACAAAAAGAAATTGGCGATTGCCTAGTTCTCCTGCTAGTGTTTTTGGTCGTATGTTCAGCCTTGAATAAATCAAGTGGCATTGATTTTGTCTGATAAACAGCGTAATATGAAATCCAACGATCATTCCACAAACCAATAACACAAATTCACCGATAAATTGTTCACGCTGAAAAGGCATATCTTTAAGTAGAACGGACTGCTATTAATCGTTTCTTCTTGGACAAAAACGGTGTGAGCAAATCAGTGTAGCAATTGCTACCAATCGTAATACTGCAATGGCACCTGAAAGAAAGTGTAAAAAATATGGGGAAAATTGTCCAATCCAGGCGAAATACCGAACTGTACAGTTGAAGGCTGAAAAAATCTACTCCTAGTGATTGAAGGTCTGTGAGGCTTTAGGCTGCTTAAATGTCACTCACGATTTCTTCGTCACAGGGACCTGTCGTTTGTCTACTGTTTGGGCACTGTTTGCGTAACCCGGCAGCTCACAACAGAATGACACCGAGTCACGGCTAAAAGGGACTTTTCCCCGGAAATCAGCAGATTGAAACAGTGAAATAAAGTTGAGAGCAGTTACTGTGGTCCAATCTAATTTCCACTTTATTTCCTTCCAGCGACTGGAAACTAGGCAACAATATAGGAGATAGTTACACAACAAGGCAAATTACAGCAGAATGTTAATCGTACTGGCCAATTTAATTGCAACAATTTTTTATGTTATTTACATAGCCTTCAGTTTTTATTTTTGTTACCAGTTTGGTGACAGTTTTCCCATTGGCTCGAACTAATCAACTAAATCAATTCTTTTCCAACAGTAGCAATTTACCACTGCCATGTTGTTAATAAAGTTCACGCAGTCAGCTTCAGTCATTACTAAGATACTCAAGGACGATAAAGGTTGCTATGGAATTGACCCAACCTTGATCTTACATTTCTTTCGCAATTTGTTTTTACTAATACTCGGGCCTTCTTTTTAATGACCAGGCTTTAATTCATAAATGAATGACTCAAAACTGAATAAGTAAAGCATGCAACGACTCAACCTATTGCGCCGGTTCGCATGATGAATTGTTTAACAAACCGCGCCTCTCTTAAAAGAGATTTTCACGCCTTTAAGGGGAAGTGATCCTGTAAGGTTTAAGGGTAAATCTCATTAACTAGGCATGATTCAAGATTAATCTGGCAAAAACAACATGACAACATAAAATTCTGGTCGCAAAAGGTAGATTTCTGATCTCAAGCAGTATAAGAAAGATTGGTTTAATTGACACAAACGCATTTTTTTAGAAGATAAGATATTCCAGTCGTGGCTTGGTGTGAAAGCAGGATTTGAAGGTTCCAGCGACAGAGATTTCGCGACACATTTGTACATTTTTATTTTAGTCAATTTTTGAATATTTTCCAAAAAAAAGATTTCGGGAGTTCAACGGGATTCCAACCCATGGCCTATGCGTTAGCGCGGCAGTGCTCTACCAAATGAGCTCTGAAGACCCGTACATTGGGAGCAGGCCAATTTGTCGAGTTTCTCTTAACCCGTGAAAGGAATGAAACATGAAGATGATGTGAACTGCGGAAATACAATTTATATGAGGGTTTGATTGTCGCGGTGGTAATTGCAATTTAAGCAATTGCAAACTAACCCGAAAAAAATGTATAATTATTTAAATGGGACAAGTTTTGTTTCCGTTTCTTATCCTGGCGCGTGCACAGCAGGCCTCACCGTATAACCGTATGAGATGACGTTTTCAAATTAATCTGGTGTAGTCACGGTGGACGAGGGTCCTAAGTAAAATTGAGCCTTCACCATTTATAACAAAACTTCTTGCGAGAAGAAAAGTATCGACGAAATTCAGTTAAGTGACAAATCTTCAGGGTCATACATTTTATGAATATTATGTTGTAAGTAAGTTTTAAATGTGGTTTTTGTGTTATTTTATTTTTAATTTTTTCCGGATCAACCAATCAATCAATCAATCAAATTTATTAAGCCACGTACCACCTACTAAGGAGCTCAGATGTGCTCGTTAAAACGTGTACGTGCTTTATTTTATTAGTAATAAAATAAATGTAAAAGAATAAAAACTAATTAAGTAATAACGAGCAATCTAAACTACTTGTCTAATAAGATGATATTTACAAATAATATTTGAAGAAGAAATTTAAAATCCATCAAGAGAGAACCTTATAAAATTGAACGCTTTTAGACATGAAAGCTTCAAGGCCCGGGGGGGGGGGGTGCTGGGATAAATTTTTGCTGTGTATGTGCCGCTGGCCTCTCAGAGCCCCTACCCCATTATAGTCTATTCTGTGACCAATTATAACCCCACCTTAGTCACTTTTGAGCAAATATGTAATTTTTACGATTCGAACTTTGTCACTTTCTATTTTTATGAACTGACCCATTTTTTAAACTGAATGAAGAACACTTTAATTTTCACCTACAGTATAAACATTCTGGTATGTTTGCTGACCATAAATATGAAGAACTGTCATAGCCCCCAAAAATCCGACAATGTGTGACCCCATTCTAGTCCATTCTAGTAACTCGATTGAAAATGCGACTCCATTATAGTCATGTCAATCCAGTCGTGAAAATGCGACCCCATCCAGCGGCACATCCCCATTAGCCTCTTATAAGGAAGTATTCCCCCCCCTCCGGGGCTTCAAGGGATCACTTAAGATTTCTTATATCTTTAGATTCTCTTATCACTGGCGGTTAACTATTCCACAATTTGCTTACTAAAGAAGTAAAAGATTTATGAATACATTCTAATTGAAAAAAAGGCACCTCAAGCCTGGTGCCAAGCCCACGTAAATTATAGGAGACCGTTCTTATATTCTTATATCCAATACGTCCTCTAATATAAGGAAATCATGCATTGTGCGCGCAACCAGCAGATTAGTTAGTTCAATGCTAGCACAAATAATCTGTAGGTAGGGCTGATTACCAAAATTAATTATGGGCTCTTAGCCAATGAGAAGACAGATTGTGAGTACAAAGTATAATAATGGTCATTATCATTCGATGCAAATTTTTCTTTCTTTTCATTGGCCCCACAGCCCACCACGTGACCTGCTAATAACTGCCTTCAAATAATGAGTCGCTCATGCGCAATGTTGTCCAACTGTGTTTGGCTGCAAATAATATTCTGCTCATGCGTAAACGAAACCACGCTTTTCTCTTTCTTGTGATCGCTCTTGCGTGAAAAATGGCAGATCTCTTCGCTTCCCGAAGATATTCATTAAAAAACAAACGTGGCGATCGAATGATAAAACAATTATTGGAGCGATTATCGCGAAATATCGTGATTTGTCAGTGTCTCGCAAATCAATTCGGGTTCGGCAAATAATTGATCTGCTCGCCACTGACAAATCACGATATTTTGCTCAACCTCGTCCAATAATTGTTAATTATTTCCCTTACTTTTATAGCTTGGGAGCAATCTTTGTTGGTGATTGACCCAATGAATGGTCTGGAGCCAAGCAAGGAACCGAAAGAGAGCTTGTTCGATGGTTACTGCTTTTACCACTTTACGCATTTTGGTAAATATCCTTTTGCTATTTTTAATTTGACATGTTATGTCAGTTAGAATCTCTATATGCTCTACCTTGTTAATATGCCAGTTTGACTTGTAGACTCCCTCTCTGCCAAAGGGCTCCTTTCTCTCTGCCTTAGGTCTAAACCTCTCTTTAGCTGTTTCGAGGTCATATAAATAACAACATAAAACCGGTTTCGCGCCAATGGGGTGGATTACAGTGCAAAATCTATTACGTTAAAATACGAATGGTGACCGCTAGCATGGTAATGGCCGATCCCAATAGAAACAAGTTAACCATCATTCATGTAAAACCTATAGTTGGTAACCAGCGTAGTTAATTCAGTATTCACTAAACCTATGAAGGGAGCACCTCTCTAAGACAAACACCTTGTCCCAGTCCCAAATTTCAAGCCGTGAAGCGCGACGAGCATATTTAGAATTTTAAACAAGTGCTGTGTGAGAATCAAAAAGGTCAAAAAAAATATCCTCGAGTATGACTGCATTTTTATTGTTGTTACTTAATGTATAAAATTCGTACTCTGAAAGGCCATATAATAAATACCGTAAATGACTTGATAAACGCCCGACGCGTCTATTTAATTTTAGGTGTCCATTGGCGGAGTTCAGTTAAATAGATAGAGGTGTTCAAAAGGGAAAGGCGTTTATTCTCTGTCATAACAAGCTCAACAAAACTAATATGCTTTCGGCAAAAATATTAAGAGAGTTTAAAAATAAAGGAATTATTATTCCACTCAGTATAGTACAAATATTGCTAGAAATGAGTACAAATATCTCACGGTATTTGCACTCCAGAAGACCAGTTTGACCGGTTTTAATCCCGCACAAACGTCGCAAATGGCAGAATGCATCATTTTCTGAAGAAAATGACGGAATAGGGGCCAAATTGTAAGCTTAAATAAACCGAGTTTCTAGAGTAAAGTAGTCTGAACAACAAAGAAATGTCGACATTTATTAAAATGTACAAAAGAGCGTACAAACGTTATGCTAAAGATACAACAGAGAGGAAGTTTCTGTGATAGAGATGGTGATGGTGAAAAACCGTGAAAGAAAAAAAAATTCAATCCCCGCCTAGGAACTGAAAAATGTGAGGAAACTGGACATGGTAGACGTACGACGTTCTCTTTTTGTTAGTATAACCCGGCGAAGATGAGGTTTCAAGTCTTTTGTTTACGAGTAGCTCTTTGAAACTCCTTGAATTTAAAGAAGAGTTTTCGTCCTTCCAGCGCAATTTGCTCTGCTCGGTTTTCCTACTTGCAGTCTGTTTTACATAACCTATGACCATCATAAACGTCTCAGTTATTTGTCATTCCATCTCTGTTTTTCTAATAAATGTTTGAAAGCGCCGACAAAAACTTGAACAAATTGATTTACCGAGTAAGCTAGTTTGACAAGTTTTCATTTCTGACCAATTAGCAACAGAAATACAGCGTGACTCGTAAAAATTTCCTCGATACTACACACTAAACCGTCCAATAAGATATATATCCAACCCACCAAATGATACATTTAGGTCGTCTGTTGATCCATATCGCTCTTTTAAATCCCAACATTGGTGTCAAAATCCTTGCTTAGGGTTACTGTGTTGCCATCGTTAGTCTATCCTTACTCTGAACAAGATAAAATACGCAAACCCTGGTTAATCAGGCAAGAAACTGAAAGAATTGAATGATTTTGCTCCTTTTTGCTAGTTCTTAGTATTTTGGAGTAATTCTCAAAGGGGGCGTCTATTAGACAGGGGGTGTTTGTTAGAGAGGGGCATCTAATACAATTTTAACTGCATAGAGGAAGAGTTTATCAGATAAGAGGCGTTTATGTGGAAGTGGGCGTTTATTGGGTCTTTTTACGGTGCCTTATTAACCAATCTTGTTTGGTCAAAATGGCTGGATATAAGTCTCGTTCAGTTTTTGCATCTTGTACTCAACAGTACAATTATGCTTTTAAAATGGTTTATTTTCCGCGTGGTTTCGCGCAGTTCACTATAACTTATAATGAAAGCGTGGGTCCTTTTATTGTATAGCCATTATATATCTAAGTAATAACTTTTGATAGGCTATTATCGATGCTCTTGAGTTTTTACATTGAGTGAGTCGCTGGGACGGAAGTTCTGGATCGAAAAACATCAATGTCCTTGTGATTGACAAATTTTTGGTATAAATCTACATCTTGCATTCCCCAGCCTTGTATTAAAAAGGGCAAAGTGTTTCTGTAAACGCCGTCGATTTTACTTGTTCATTGTTTTGCCGTCATCAGTATCAATTTCCCGTTTAATATTTGCACTAAAATATGTTCATCCCTGACAAAATAGTGAAAACAAGTCTGTTATGCTCTCATGTAAAAAGTTAAAATCAACAAATAAATCAATAAGTGTTCTATGAAACATGGGTTAGTACGTACGCGTACAAAGAGCAGAAAAGGACATGGGGCGTGCTTACCGCCATTTGACAGAAAAATCCGGTTGGGGTGTCAGAAGCATAATGGTAAGTGACTTACCAGTCTTAAGGGGCGCCCGAATTCCCCCTTCCCGTTCGCCATTTTAACGCCTGCTACGCAGGTTTACCAGTTTACAGCAGAATTGTCCCTTCAGTTATGATCTGAAATCAAAAAAGGTGTGAATTTCTGTAGCGTGAGTCTCGAACATAGCCTTACATTCAGTCGCCTCCTCCGCTCACAAGTAACTGAACGAAGGCCATGTGGAGCCGAGAAAAATTCCATTTGGTTCGTACCGACCGGAATGGAGGGACTTCGCCAAAATGTAGTCCTCAACTTTCGGTTCGAATTCCCGAAAAATGACCTGACCATGACCTAATCAACTGTCTGTCCAGAATTTTCGAAATTTCTGGCTAAATGGTAAGGCTCGGCAAACTATTTTTTTTTCTGTTTGTAGTTAATGCAGAAGTAGTTAATGATAAATAATGATTTGGGGGTAGCACATCCACAAAGTGGTTCTTGTGGATGTGCCACCTTTAAATCATTATTTATTATTAATTGCAAACAGAAAGAAAAGTTTGCCGAGCCTTACCATTTAGCCAGAAATTTCGATAATTTCGATTTAGATTACTGGTGAAATATCACAGATGTTATGAGTCACGACTGCTGTTATTCTGTTTTGTTTCCTTGTAACATTTAGCAATGACTATTCGATTATTGTGTGGGTTCAGGGTTATGTTAAAGGCTTCAATTAAATTCGCGTGACAAAATATCGCGTGACTTTCCTAAAATATGTATTACGCCATTGTTCTTTTATGCTTGGCATAAATAATTTTATTTACAACCTCTTCCTTCGTAACAATTCATTTTCTATTTCAAATTCAGAAACGTTGATTGAAATTTTGGTTTAGGGCTATATCGAAAACTAGTTTTCGTCCAAAATTTATTCGTAGCTTCTGGCACAAAGAGTAGTCGTTTGTAGTGAATCGTACATGCGATTGTTCGTAATTTTGTTATTGGGACAAGAGTAATTAATTTCTATGTCATACAAACTGTTTCTATAGCCTTTGTTCTTGCGGTACTGATAAATTCTTCATATACAAACTGTTCCTATGTCTGTTGTTCTTGCGATACTGATAAATTCTCCCTATACAAACTATACTCCTTCCGTTGCATGTTCTAACTTTACTGATAAATCTTCCATCATACAAAGTGTTCCGCCTGTCGTTCTTGTGTTGCTGATAAATCCTCCATCGATAGTCTTAATGCCTCCTCATAACTGGGGGGAGGCAACTGAGGTTCTTGCGTCTCTTCGTAAGTTGGCGGACCACTGTCGGCAATTGGATCCCGTATATCATCTTCTTGGCTCTCGTTTTGGGGACTTTGAATTGCGTCACCACCCGTAGTGTTATGGTTCCTTTCCGGCATATCATCACGAAGGGCATCAAGTAGGCTGTTTCTGCGAGCATTTGAGGTAGATCTGAGTGCTGTTTGTTGGGTTGACAGACTGGTTCGTCTCGCCCGTTCCTGTGAGCGAAACTTACTTCGAAACAAACGACAGAAACATACCACGAAAATCATAATCAACCCGGCTATAAAAATTATAATGACATGTTCTGTGCTCAACATGGCAAACTGTCCTTTTTCTCTGTCTTTCCTCCGGCGTTAATTTTACAGATTATTAAGTAAAGGTGGCCAATAATTCGAATACATGGACACTAACCAAGATCCATACGTCACCACCACAGCTTTAGATCGCGTAACGCCGCCATTTTGGAACAGAAAAAAACGGTAAAATATTGTGCTATGATTAGGGTAAAAGTCAATACATTCAAGTTACGTACGCAATCATTGAAGTGTGCATATCATCAATTCTAATCATCGACAGAAAGAAATGTCCGGAAACACAAAGAAATTACCGGAAAATTGGAACTTGGTCCGGACTTTACGACACTTGTCAATTTGTTTGGATAGAAAAATCAATCAATTGCGGTTTTCACGTAGATGCAGAAAATCATAACGTAATTTACCTCTCCGAGCTTGGATATTATTTGGATCACTGCTTTTCTAGCCTGCCCATAGCCTGCCTAGCACCTGGGGGGACTCTCGTATAGAAGAGACCGGAATGCTCGTCCTCTTGCTTTGGGGTGTAAATTTTAAGATTTCAAGTCACTTGGGGTGCTCCGGGTGAAACGCCTCTTTTCGCGTTTGAGGCTGTACTCGAAAAGTATTTTGATATCTTTTGGGGGTCGAAGCAAATTTTGAGCCAGCACAATTTAATTTAATTGGAAATTTCCGACAAGCATCTACAGGAATGCTTAAGTCGAATTTAATTCGATCAATTGAGTTCGGCACGGCAGTAGCACGACGTTTGAAACGGGCCTAAGCCTACTAACAAATCATACCTATCCTTTTTCTGGAAAGTTAAGAAATAACAAACAAATTTTATCTCACTTGTTATGGTGCGCCAAAATACAACGTCTTTAACATTTGAAAAAGTTTAGGTAGACTTTTCACAGTCCCCTATGTTTTGGTAAGATCGTCGAGATCGAGCCTGGGGCTTTGGGTTACGGGGGCCCATCCTGGTCTCAAATGTTCTAAGTCTAGCTTGGGGAAAACCAAAATGGCCGCCCGTACTATACCGGTGAGCGCGCGATCCTTACGATCTTGCGAAAAATAGGGGACTGTGAACGCTGGCTAGTGTTTAGGATCCTATCTTGTTTTCAGAATTACATTTTATCCACTTGATCGGTATACCAACCACATGTTGTTACCACTATTAGGTCTCCCTTCTGTGATTAAAGTAAGTTACAGGGAGTGTAGTCTGTTCTCACATCCTGCTTACCCTTGGTGGCTTAGTTATTAGTCGTTATCAGATTAAACTGTTTAACCTGAGTGAGAAGAATGTTTAAATTCCTCTTTGCTGTCTAAATTGCAGTGCCTGTACGTACTTGATATCTGCTCATCCTCGTTTCCATGGCTTCGAGTGAGCAGGAAACAGTCTCTGAGAAGGGTGGCGTGACCACCCTTAAACTTTCGTGACTCCAAAAGGAAACGCTTCCCTAAGCTTACTTGTTGATTTGTAAACAAAAAGGCTGGTAATTAAAACAGCCGTTTCCGTTATATGCACCGTGGCACTATGAACAAAAATAACAGATTTAATGGCGAAGGTTTTCTGGTCGATCGAAACATTGAAGTAATAAAAAGCATTGACGACGAGTGTTTTCCAGCACAGCGAAGGTTTCATTGCTCTTTTTCTTCTTCTATTTTCCTGGCTGACATAAACCACGCATTGCCGAACGCCGGCGTCTTTTGTAGACTTCAACCTTGTGTCACAAGCAAGTGCTGCCTTTATCCGCTAAATGTCTTGCTCGCCTGGCGATGTCCGTGAGCTCGAAATATCCGATATTATAACACGTTGTTGATCTTGTGCTAGGTTGTATCTAAAGACGGCCCTTTCACACGCAGAACGATCCCTTGGCCACATTCGGTAGCAAAGAAAACCAACCACAACAAGTAGCAGTACGAGTAGCAGTAACACAATACCAAGAACGAGCCAGTTATAAATCTTGTGTTTTGCTGTCAGATCCGCAAGTTGACACGATTTGCAAGCTTCCTCTGTGGAATTTTCGGCGCATGAACCTATCTGAAATGCCACAGGAAGAAACAAGAAAAGACATCTCCACATTTCCCGGCATAAATTCGCTTTTGTCTGCACACATATAAGAACAGCCATTTATCACCTCAGTATTACACGTAAGGCAGGAACTCAAACGGTCTATACGGATCAAACGAGAGCCCTGAGAGAGTGATTCGCTAGTCGCTTGACATATTGTTTTGATTAGCTGTGTAATGAAGATGATACTCACTTTTTATGTGCCTTGCCGATATCACTTAAACAGGTGATAGTAGGACGACAACATTATCTCACGCTGTATTTTTCCGGCTTTACACAGATTATTTTGCTAATCGATACCCACCGCCGCACCCAAGGTTAATCCGGGGGTACTCCATTATGGACAATAGGGCGATGTGTCGCTCCCAAAGGAGTACCGTTTTGAGGCTAAAGGCACTATTTAAGGGTAGAAATTTCACAGGATAATCATTTTGAGGTATAAAAGAGGGTAAGGAAAACTGCCATTTAGGTAGAAAGGTGGTCCATGCTATGGCTGATATATTTAACTACATGTACCTTAGATTTTACAAAAACGCCTCTTGTTTTCATGATAGCGTCTCTGAAAGGGGTAGCATTTCAAATTGTAGAAGGGGAACCTTTTTGGTCAAAACTACATAAGAGGGAAGGGAATAACTAGTTTGACCTCTGAGTAGATGATGCTACATACTATCAGATAAAAAACTACAAAACGTCTGTCTGTCATCTAGATAGTTTTAAGAGCTGTCCAAGGGCAAATGTTGACATTAAACGGTGCGTACACTTTGTTGTTTGTTGTACAAAAGATAAAAAGTTCAGTGCGTTGAAAGTCTTTTTATTTGCTCTTCATTATCTTATTGCTAACCGCAAGAACATCGAATTCGTATTTCAGCAAAAAAGTGTTTTATCGCCGGCAAATGAGGCCGGCCATCGCAAGTAATCCCTCGAAAGGATAAAAAAAGGCAGTCGATTCCATTAAATTTGATATGATCTGATTATATAGCCTAATTTTCTTAGCAAATTACAGGCGGCTCAGTTGTATGACAAGCAAAACCTGAAAGAAACATTCACAAACCTTTCAGTAGAAAATTTGCCGCAAACGATTTTAATGTTTTGAGAACATATACAAGAAACATTCAAGACAAGTCGATGAGAAAGCCGTGCTGGCATCTTTCTTGCCCCTGGTCTGTAATTACTCCCGAGGATTTTCCATTATTTAGTTGCAGTTGTCTGTAGAACGTATTACACACTGTAAGTATATAAAACAACTTGCTACGGTAATTACAGTTAATTGGAGAGAGAGGTTTGCAAAGCGACATTTCTTCACTTTTTTGGCCAAAAAAAAAAAAAAAAGGGAAATCCACAAGCTCTATTAGAGAAGGCCAACTTGGTTCGATAGCATAATGCAGCCTCTTAATCTCCTTGTCTTTGCTTTTACCCAATGCAAAGTTAAATTGCGCGAAAGGTGTTCTTCGCGTGAGCAAGATTGTCGGTGTCTCGTAAATGTTTGCCAAAGCTAAGGCGGAGTTCCTCTAGCAGCACAGCGGCTAAGTTTGTCCGCTCTCTTCTGGTAGACCTTTCTACTGGTCATCATTGAACGTATCCCGTACATTTAGGTAATAGTTAGCACCTGAATTGTATTTTATAATGTTCGTTACCATCTTTTTCGACTAGAGTCTGTGTGGAAAGAAACCCGAGTTTTCCTTTATAAAGATGGAAAAAGGGCGCATTTTGGCTTTCGCGCTACTTCTTCCTTGACTTCGGGAGGAGGTTGTTTGCCTTTCCGTTTAATTTTGGCTGAGATTGTAGTTAGACATCGCACCGAGAAACGAAGTTCGACGAGGAAAAAGATGTTTTGACAGCAGTCAGTTTGACAGTATTTACTTCCTCAGGGATTAGTTAAACGATAAGAAACAAGACAAAGCAGACCATAATGCTTAAGATTTTACCCAGATTCTCTTTTGCCCCCAAAATAGTTTTACCAACTACAATGAAAGATTCTATACAGAATTGAGATAAAGTTACCGTTGGCCCAAGGTCAATCCGACGTTATCTGCTAGAATACGTATTTCCTCCTGTGGGCCAGCACAGTAACAACGGCGAAAGATGAGAAGAATCAAAGATTTGTTGACAGATTTAATTAAAAGTCTTAGACTTCACCAAGTTTGCACGTATGGTGAAGGTCTTAAATTTCTTTTACGTGGTGGAATTTGTTTCCAAAAGAAAGGATGGGAAGGGGACCTTTCTGGAGGTGGATCAGCCTTAATTTGGCTCCTATTAAAAAACCGTTGAGTTACTGTAAAAACGAAAAACCCGACTGATTTGCAGTCTTTTTGAATACTTATGTCGACACCTTTTATGACTTTTATAACCTCAGGGCTCCTAATATGAGGGTTACTTTCTTAGGAAATTTACATATGGTTCTACACTTTTTGGCTTCGCCCTCATGTTTAGTTAGAAATAGACACTATAAAAAGTTTAGTTACCACAAATAACAGAATTTATTGATATATTTTTTAATTAGTTTAAGCAAGAGTGGATGGTTTAAGTTTTTCTGTTCAATAGCAAATGACGTTTTGATTCCTTTCCGCAGTTTTATTAATTCATGTAAATGTCTTTCTTATCTTTAACATTTCCAGTGCTTGAACATGGCTAGTTTCCCCTTCTGCGTGCTAGTTTCTTCGGATTCACGAAAGACTCGGCCATAGAAAGGTTTTACGAGGTTTATGATACAATTGGTTAATCCAGCTGGAGATGCCGAAAATTTATATTATAAAACACTAGACTTATAATTTGGTTCACCAGTATTTATTACAACACCAGCAGTCAATGTTTGTTCCTGGTGGGGCTGCCATGGGACTCAGAACAGAGGCACCCAACGACAGTTTTCTGTAAAATATCTCTTCGGAGGAAGGCTAAGAATTTCTACATGACCGTTCCATTCATGTACAATTTTCGAAACTTATTAAAAAAATTCCCTACGATTTTCTGAAGTTTAATTTTTCGCAGTTCACTTCCCAGAGTAAGTTATTTTTCACAGAAAAAGGAAACTCAGCATTTTCGGATTCGAAAATGCGATAGAAAGAGGAATCAGAAAAATTCTCACTTTCGAAAGACTATAAATTGCATCTCAAATTTTCGGGTAAATAATACTGAAACCCTGGTAATTTCGAAAAGACTCAAGTTGCACAAGGATGACCGAACAGATATAAATTTTATAGCGACGAAGAAAATGTATTTCTTCAGTTCTAAAAGTACTCTGGATAGCCTAAAAAGTGTTTTTAATGCATTTAGGGGGAAACCGTTGTCGGGTGCCCCTGTCAGAATTTAACTTTATTATTTCAACACGTTTCACGTTTCGTAATCTCTTGATCTTTTTTTTCTATTTATAATGACCTCAGTCTTGCGCCCTACCTTTTGTCGTACGTTATAATACATTATCATAGCTGTGTACATTACATAGTCATTCATTATTTCACACTGTAACAGTGAACACAGCATCACCCTTGAAGGATCCAGAATCCAAAAAACCGATGAGAGGTTTCAGCTTTCATATCAGTATAGCTGTTATTTTGAAGTGTAAACAATGGCCATATACTGCCAAGTATGTTTGCTGATTATCGTACATATATATCTCTAATTGTGGTACACTGTATTATTGTTAAGAAGTGCTTTCTTCCACGTTGCTCCGAACCACTAAAAGTTCATCGTAGCTCGGTGGGCTGTTCAAATGATCGAACTGTTGATCGTTGTATGGTGGGGGGTCCTCATCGATGTTCTCAACATCGATGCTGACCTGGTTGGGTAATTCGCCTTCTACCGTGTCCCCTTCCTCCATGGGCCTGGGTTTATGGTAAGCCGACGAGAAGTCGTAAGGTGGCAAACGCACTTGGGGAAACGTAAAATCACTAGAGAACGCATCGAGCTCGCCATTGAGCGCAAAATTATCAATCCCCGTGTTCAGTTGTTCAGCATTCCAGTCCCCCGTTTGTGAAGCTTGAGAACTGCGCGTTGCCTCTTGGAGCCTTTGGTGCTGTAACTGCGCCAATCGTCTTCTTTTCATTCGCCCCAGACAGAAAGATATCAAGCAAAAATTAAAGAACAGAACACAGAATCCAACAATCGCGATTGCAAACTCCTGATTTCCGGTTATGAAACTGTGAGACTTAGTGGTGTCAGTTTTCAATTGCCTTCGCGAAGTAGTACTAGGAGTTGAGTCCATTATTACTTCGTATGTTGGGTCTGTTTCTTCTTGGTAAGTCATTTTCGTTGGCTCGGATTCCGTCGAATTTTTTCCGACATCGATGCAAACACCTCCTTTACAAACCTTTCCAAAGGCACAAGAAATGTTCATTAAACCGCACTTTATGTTATCGATCACTTGGCTGTTGTTTTCGTTTGTGCCGTTTCCTCTTGTAGCGACAGGTTGGCTCACGAAATAAACTGCTACCAAGATGTGTATTAAAGACATGTTTTCAATCCCAGACGTACTTAACTTGACTTAACACTGAATCCTGCTTCGCTGTGTTTTGTTCAAAAGTTCAATTTCTGCTTCGTCATAGTGCGCTGGGATATTTTTATTTCAGTCGGTTAGTGGACCGCTATTTACGTTTTTGTTCATGTGAAACGATGCGAGTAACGTATCTTGGCTGCAGTTGGCGGTCTTAATGAATACTCTTTATTTGCATGTGAATGCTGTTCAGTCACATCACGTAAAATTGGAGGAAAACAAAATGTTTGCATCTAATCTAGCACAGATTCAAAAGACGGAAGTTTTATTTAGGTCAAAAGTTTTTCAAATTGAAATTGGGGTCATTTGGCAAGGGAACAAGTCAGTTTTTAATATTGAATTAAAGCATTTTCCGTCTATGATGTTAGCAAAGATTCCAACTCTCACAATGTACTTATATGTTGGCTTAATTACCGTAAGTACCTGATTCACGGTTTTGCACCTAGATATAGGTATTCACTCATTGAAACATTTTTTTCTTCAAACGAAAACTCAAAGACAGTACAGACCCTTCGATTTTAAACAAGTAATAAATTTAAGGGGAAAAGAATGTGTAATACTAATATGGTAACTGTCACTGACCAAGAAAAGGACACTCCGTCACTTTGTTCTAGTTAAATTATGACGTTTCACTTTCGTCACTCATTGGTTAGTGGTTAACTTACAACTGTTGATCTAAATTTAGATCAGGGACTTTTTTTTCTTAAATATATGACCCCGGCAGGGAAGAATTGGCGGTGTTTACAAAAAGTAAGAGAGTAGAAGTTTCCGCTAGCGTGGCAGTAAATTAAATATTTCTTGGACAACGTACTTCCTCATTTCTTTCTTCTTTATTGAATAAAGCTGACGGCAGGGTTCGTTATGTTTTCATTGTTGCCATGGTAACTGTATAAACAGATTTGACCCTTTCACCCGATTCTGCTGACAGCGAAAATAACAGAGCAGATAAACAATGTACAATAATTTAATGGTAAGGCCAGCCGAGTCCTTATTTTCAATGTTTGCGTTTATAAAGAACAAGATCGCCCAAGAGGTGATAGAACACATTCAAGTACCACTGTCAGTGCGCGTTATTTCAATGCTGAAATCAGGGCTGTTTATAGCCAATCAGAATGTACGAACTCGTTACCTAAAATGCTTAAATCGGGGCTGCAAAAAGGCAATAAGAATAAATAGCTTGTTGGAGTTATAAATATGTTATTTAATAGGCCATTTCCGAGTTCCCCCGGGCCTCTGTATCAAAACGAGGTTAAGTGTTCAACCTTTGATGAGGAAATGATTTTTCATTCTTATGCAAATAAAACACATATTCACAAGAAAGGCTGTACACTTGGCCTCATTTTGAAAGTGAGGGTTTTTGGAACTAGGAAGTGGCCTATTCTGTTGATCGATAGGCTTTACGTTTTCTTCCAAAACTAAATGCAGTCAAATAAACTCAAACAAAATAGCTTGTAAGTAGGCTCTTTTCATTTGTTTATTTCGTCGCCCACACAAGAAAACTTTTAACACTTAAAACAAAAGTTGTTAATTAAATTTTAAACCAATGTGATAGGGGAGCCTTGCGGAGCTAGTAGCTTCTTGAAATACATTAATAGGCTTCCGTACGTTATATTGATATGAAATACCTCGCTAAGGACAAAGTGCACAGAAACAACAAAAAATAAGCGACTGATCGACCATCAATGAGATAGTCACCCTTCAGATTATTTTTTAAATGCGGAATGGGAGCTAGTTAGTAAAGAAGGCAACCAATTCCAGATTCTTTGTCGTCTATAGAGCGGTTTTCACTTGACTGTCGAAAGTAATTGAGGAATTGGTTTGGTTTTGGTTTTACTACGCCCTTTGGTTGGCTAGTGTATTTACTTTGGTTTTGGTTTTACGACAGTCAAGTGAAAACCGCTCTAAAGGATACTGAACTGATACTTCCTTCTACAAAACTGAGGTCTATTCACGCTGAGAGGTCAATGGAATTTCGTAATGTTGGACCTCTTAATTTAGGAATGGGGCGAAAAAATAGTGATGATAGAGACCTTAAGATACACCGCTTTGGTGTAGGGGAACGAGTATTTCCCACATCTGTAGCCATAGCTTACTTCCTACCCCAGAGAGACGGCTAAGCTACCAGGTCGAACTGACGATGATGGTATTATCACATCTAGAAAGTCATGGTTGCCTTTTATATAACTACGTGGCAAACATGGTCGCGTACCATAACCCGTAGACAGAAACGGTGTATCTTAAGGGGCCACCCGCAGGCCTACTTCCATGTTTAATAACTGAAGATAAGCCTTTTGTCGAAATGAAGGTTGGTACTACAATTCTAGGTGATACTATATATGGGTCAGCAAGAGCCATATGGCTCTTGGGGTCAGTTAAATGGTTTATGTAATCGCACGAGGCCAAGTCAAGTTAAGGATATCACGGATGTCATTTTAAAGCAGATACAACTTTTTGCCTTGATAACTTACGTTTATTCATCTCTAATGTAGAGAAAAGCGGATAAATCTTGAATGCAGACAAGCTGTAAGGTGGTAAAACTAACCTCGTGCGAGAGGGTGGAAAAGATACTAGGTCTTAAAAAATACTGACTTTAAACTTATGACTGTGTAAAAACTAGATATGTTATCAGAGGCTTACTGACTGCATGCTCAACTTTAAACCCAGAATGTTGATCGGATCGCGGAAGATCGTTAAATTCAGTTGTTCTGGAATCAAATGTCTACCAAAGATCTTTTTATTATTTCACCAACACGGATTCGAAAAGGGTTGTTTCTATGGGTTAGTGGATAAGGGGCTGTAAATAACACCTGAGTAAAGGGCTGGACTGTTGCTTTTTTAAATTGAGTTTTTCTCAAAAGCAAAACTGACATAGAACTCCAAACGACTAAAGTTCAAGTTCTTCGGCAGCCACATGACGGAACCCGTCGTCTGCGTACTTAAGACTAATCCTATAAGTACTGGAGGCAAAGTGACCACCTTTTCTTCATACAAAGCAACTATAGTAATTAGACTATTTATTATGGGAAAGTATATCAAGTACCTTGAACTTACACCCCAGACTTCAAGACTGAAGGCTCGTAAGATGCCATGATCGGCTTACAGTAAATATTTATGATTAAAGCTCGCAAAGCTTGGCTTTCCGCCGTTGCTCTTAAGACTGAACGGTCATTTGCGCCTACGAGGAAATGCTAGTGGTCATTTATTTTCAAAATGAAGATCTGTAGAAGCTCCTGATCAGGAGATATGGAGTCGGGAATCAATTCAAACTGGAACCGTAAAGATCCGGCATTGTGCCAGGAGACTAGGTTCTTAATTGTGCTTATTAAGTTTGCGAAGCGACCAGGATTTATACTTTGCCATTTTTAAAAGACGTTCAAACTTATGGACCCTGTGCATCCGTCTGGTGTTTAGCAGGTCATAGGTTCGCAACCATTCTCGGGAAAGGGGGTGGGTGGACTCAAGATTCTACGCTCTGACATGACATCAGTATTATTACATCTGGCTTTTTCAATTTTCGGTTGTTTGTGGGCTGAAACTTACAGTGCCTGTTCTACTTTTCAAAAGTATCAGGATTTCCAAGAAAGGGCCCTTACTTCGTACTAATTACACGTAAAACATTTTTTTTTATATATATAAGCACAACTGTAAAACGTAGCTTGCTCCAGGCGTTCGGATAGTGGAAAAGAGGGAGAAAGGAGGGAACGCCTGTGAGATTTGTTTTCAAAAGGTCATTCCGCCCACTTTGTCGGCTAGCAATCCGAACGTAGTTTCCGGTGTTAAATGTTGTCGATCAAGCAACGGGCAACAAACCGCACTGTTTACTGAATTAACAAAAATATATGCCTGTATTGATCTTTTATATTTGTTTTCTGCAAGCGAATATATCCTTTACCTCCAAAAATTAAAGAACTGGCAAGTATTACTCGTTCCACTTTCTCTGCCGTTGATTTTCACTCAACAGATCATATACTAGCTGCTGTTGGTTTTTGTTGTTATTATTGAAATGCGGTTTGAATTTGTTTGTCAGTAAAAGCTTCAACGCGTAGCTTTGAAAGACGTGTTAAGCGAATAGAGATCTCAAAGTACGTCCCGAGACTAGCACATTTGTTCCTTTTCACAAAATCGGCTTTCAAAATATTCAGGTGAGTGTTTTGACAGCCAACTTTCAGGAATTTCAGGACTGAAGAAGCTGCATTTTCTTCTCTTCTATATACATTCAATGCCAATTCGTCCACGCTTTCCTACTGTTGTAGCGACTCCAACTGTGTTAAACTGTCGTACTTGAGTAGCCGCCAAGGCGAACCGTCCGGCGAGGAACAAGGCCAAAGTGAAATTAAACGGCTGTATTCGCAGGCTAAACAAACAAAGACTCATATCAAAAGAAGGTTCATGGGCGTATTTAATATTCCTGAAGAGAACTGAAAGGAAAGAGCTCGTTTAAAAGCCAATAAATGGTAAAATTTCCGAAGCCCTACTTTCCGTTGACGAGATCCTGCCTCAAGGATGATATTCCACATTACCCGTGTTGCTTATTCAAATCACTTCACCGTGGTTTCAAGATAACCTGATGTGTAATCTCATTGCTAGCGCATCACATTTCCAATCAACGTAATGAATCTCTTACTGAATCTCTTATCTCTTTCTTAATGAANTGGGCGTATTTAATATTCCTGAAGAGAACTGAAAGGAAAGAGCTCGTTTAAAAGCCAATAAATGGTAAAATTTCCGAAGCCCTACTTTCCGTTGACGAGATCCTGCCTCAAGGATGATATTCCACATTACCTGTGTTGCTTATTCAAATCACTTCACCGTGGTTTCAAGATAACCTGATATGTAATCTCATTGCTAGCGCATCACATTTCCAATCAACGTAATGAATCTCTTAGTGCTAACAAGAGCTGTCAAAATAGACCAATCGTAGGGTATACCGGACGAGCTTTTGTTAAAACGTCTTACAGGCGTTTCCTCGCTCTGACCCCTACCCCACCTCCTGGTTTTTTTTCTGCCCACATCTTTTTGCACCGTCCCCACGATCTAAACGCCTGGAACAGGCTACTGTAAAACGCTGTTCTAAGCTTAATGCCCCAATGACTGCTCTGTAATGTTCTTTAGAAATTCTGAGTAAATAAACAGATAGATAGGGCCTTTTGTCCAGTAAGTTTTTATTTTTTAAATATATTGTCGCAAAAGTAGACACAAAGCTTTGCCTATTTCCGTTTGTGAGCTTGCTTCTTGACGCGCCCTTTCCGGGTTGATAGCCTCACTGGCCCTACAAAAAATGGCTAAATTGTCACGTAGCCAAGAGGGGATAGTATCCTCTCCCGCACTTGCTTGTTTTTATTTCAATGTAATTTTCTCCCTTATACTCCGCATTTCCACCATTTATAACAATCAGACGTTTTTTAAGTTCTGATTTACGGTACGAAAGTCTCAGTGAGTAGCATGTTACTCAGGTTATTGAAACCAGTAGATATTCAGTTTTAAGGAACTGTACCACCACAACGCCTTCGCTTCCTGCTTGTTCTTGCTTCAGTTGGCAATCCGGCCTCTAGAAATCACTGTGAACTGAATCTAAACTAGACATGCACTGGGGTCCCAAACCTGCTAAGTCTCCAAAAAAAAAAACGCAAATCCGGCGATACGAAATTTAGTCTAATTAACCTTCACTATAAATCTATACATGACATGCCGTAAAATCTTCCTTACTCTGAAAGGAAACTCAAACGAAAGGAGTCTAGCCGGTGTTGAGGTAGTCACAAGTTTGTCAGTTTACCTTCTGCGTCATTTTCGTCCTGTCGATCCCCTTCGTGGATAACACAACCGGTGCAGGTGACGTCAGATCAAAGCGACACACTTCAGTGTGTTTCATATTGATCCCTTGTTTTTTGTTTTTCAAAAGTGCTCAAACCAGCAATTTCAGTGTCTAAAAGTTAGACCCAGATTCAATCTTTTGTTTCCTCGCGAAGTTTACGATCTTGTATCGCCTTGTGTCTCAAAACCTGTTGTTGACGATTCACTCCGCAGAACGACCACATCGTAAGGCGGCGGCGTCCCGAACAACACTCCGTATTCGGGAGGTTGCTCGGACGTGCTCGGGAGTCGTGGTAGATTTTCAGTTCTAAAGTCTTGTCCTATAACAGTGTTAAGAATCTCTCCATTTTCATTACAAATGAAGTTAAAGAGACTAAAATACGGCGGTGGACCCGACGTCGTGCTTAAGGAAGAAAAGCGTCTCCTAAGCAAGTAATCTGGAATTTCAATAGCAGTGTTTTCACACGTTACCATATTAGACTCGTTCGTAGAATCGCTGTTTTGTGACCGGGGTCCTTGCTTGAGGCATATGTACACCAACAGCATCACTAAACCGATGATCAACACCACAGAAACGCTCATTATGGCCACTATGGCTTCAACTGCATTGTTCGTTACGTTGGTCTCACACTCCTTACCGTCGCAAAGTCCGTTGGAACATGTCTTTAATGGCTCTGTGCATTGCGAACAAACACTTGCCAAAGTGGCTAAACTTACCACTAAGCGTGACACAAAATGTGATCCTTCTAGGCGCCCCATTTAATCCCGGCCGAGCGACACTTCACGGCTCTGCGTTGTTACAAGTCAATTCTCTGTAACTGTTTGGGTTGTTTATTTGTAATTTGTATATTAATCTCGCTTTTATACTTCAATTCATCCGAAACATGGGTGGATTGCTCACTTCCGGTTACCTATGACGTCACAAGGCTAACTCGTTCCCTTCCATTTTTCACCTCGGCTGCCGGAATAGGGATGGGCAAAACCCTTGTCCCTTTATTATTTACTGTAAAAACAATCTACCAATGAGAAACAGTAAACATTTGTTGTTCAGTGTTAAGAGGTTTTTACTGATTCAATACATGAAACAAAATGCCACTGAAGTTTGTGAAATTAGGAAGGCCTTTTTGTGGTCAACCTCTTAACCTCAAAGGAAGTTTAAAACACGTTTCACTTAAGTTCCATTCAATTTCACCTTTCGGTGCAGTAATATCCTTACTAATGCCTTCTTATGCTGTTAAGTGCCTTTCAAGAAGAAAAAGTTTCATTAAGTATTATATTGTATTCGCTCATAAGCACCAAGAATCGTGGGTCGGAAGGAAAGATATTTTTAGACTAAAATCCTCGAGGCAGTTGTTACTTTAAAGCTGTTTAAAGTCTGAAACGAGATCCTCAGTGAACGGTAACGTTACTTATGTTGTAAATGATATACTTGAATAATCCTTGTTTTTAATCCACTGCAATGCGTGGTTCAAAATTTTACATTGTTTCAAGGGTTCTTATTAATAAGCACATTGACTCAAATAAAGGCTATTAGGGTAATGTCTGAGAAAACAGAGACGCAGCATAGCGGTCTTGCAATAACTCACGAGTCGCTTTTCACATTTTTGCTATACTGTTTTCTTTTGCTTCTTTACCACCCTTCCTACAATAGCAACATTTTTCGCAAACTGAGCATAAAATTGATTATCAAAACACAGAGCCCGGAAATTCACTAAATGGCATGATCGGTCACTGTTTTTTCTTTGCTTTTTTTAAAAATATTACGTTACTGATGACGTTTGAATGCCAGCATTTCTTAAGTTTAACTTACTTTAGTGTATTTCCTTATGCTTAACACCTCTCTGAACTTCTACTCATAATAGTTTTTATGTTCTTTCTTCTCATTATGAAAGGACAATGCTCATACACCAAATCTGCACACGCTCAACTTATCTGGAACATTTTAAAAAGAGGTATTTGTTAGTTGCAAATCAAAACAACATTACTTTGTCAGCTATTATACAGATTCAGTCATATCTTTAAAAAAGTACCTTAAAAAGCAGCAAGGTCCAGCACTGAGTGATCAAGCAATGTTCTAAATCAAAACAACCATGCCACCAAAATTTATGCCCATTTTGTTGTAGCCAATAATGGTGGCATACTTACGAACAGCAGTAAGAGATTATATCACCCGTGTTGCAGTACATAAAAGAGTTTTCTTTTTAATGTGTTTTCTTACCACATTTTTGACACACTGTTTTTGAAGTAGACCCAGAACATTGGCTCCTTCAGAATAGATTTTGACTTCAAAAAAAATTGATCCTTGTCAGTTTAAATGTGGCAAATTTCACGCGAGCTACAAGCAGACGTTGGACGGAAAGGACAAATATTTTTAATGTACTTGTTGTTTTTAAAGACCTTTCGTTACGGTCGAAAACTCACGCCATCTTAAAGCCTTCCTTGCCCATGCAATCACTGAATTCCTAGGCAAATACTCCTCGCCAAGTTGCATCGGTAAAAAAGAGCGCTTTTCATCTTAACCATTAATTCTATTTCCCCGACTGAGCGTAGAGCAGACAGAACAGGACAAGGCGGGATGTTTGCTCCTTCAGAGTAGACTTTTACTTGAAAAAATGAATTGATCTGTCTGGTTACTATGTCAGAATATCAAGTGAACTAGACGCAGCCCTGCGAAGGCTGGGCAAATATTCTTAATGTAATTATAGTAATTTTCATAATTACGGACCCGTTAATGAAGTTCAAACCGACTTCCGAGATATTCCAAGGTTAAGGTATCGAACGTGCATTTTTACATGTACCTGAATTTGTTTGAAACGGTTGTGTATAGCAACCGAATGCATCTGTCAATGAAAGCAATTTGCATGTTCGGC